CCATTATGGTTTAAGATCACGTTACATACACTAATAGTATTTTTTATACATGTTAATTTTTTTCTTTTTATTTTTAATTCTATATCCAATTAAACATTAGTATATAAAATAAAACGGAGGAAGTATTATATTACATGACTAAGGTTGATTCTTCCAACAAAACCATGTTTTCCTCACCTTATTGAGTAACTATCTGATCTGCTTGTGCTAATGGATAAGTGGAAATCTTACTCATGATCTTGAGAGCTTTAAGAGTTCAACAAACAAGTTGAGAGATGAGCTTATATTCTGATTTAATTGAATGACCAATGGTTTTTGTTAGAAAACGGGCTTCTGCATGTTTTACTCCTTATGTAGTTGATTCTGTTGAAAATAATTATGTGTGCTCTCTCTAAAAGTTGATGGACACATACTTTAATATGGTAGCAAAACAGGTAAAAGTCTTGGTTTCGAGTCGCAGCGCCATCATTAAATGATTTTTCACATACTTGACCAATAAAAAGAAAATGAATGAAGTATGCACATGAGGGGACGTGTTGAAAAAATAATTAAGTAAATAAAATCGTACTCTCTCTAATAGCTTAAACTTTTAGGTGAGATGATCACATATTTTAATAGATTTTCGAGGTCCTTCCGGAATCCCTAACACTTAACAAATGGGTTGTGAACGTTTTAGTCTTGATATAAAGTTGTTTTTGAATGGGTCTGTAACTTGTTATCTGTGTATATAAAGTATACCAGTGAGAATCATTAGCGAGTAAAATTGACCGAGTGAGCAATCTAGCATCTTATCATAAGCCTCTCTTTAATGCAAGCCATCGTATATAATAGAAGGAAATAATTTTTTACGATCAATTACAATTTAAATAGAAGAATATTAATCTTACAAAGATCTTATGTATTTAATTCATCAAATAAAAGTATTTTCTGAGAGACTCGGGAGCGAGACAAGCCAAAAAGGCATCAAAATAGACTAGCGGACACAAGTATCATGAGGCTCGTATATCCTAACCTTCTATGCATTCATTTAGGACGTACGTCCAGAGAACTTTTGTATTGGAACAAACATTGCTAAATAAGTCCTTTTTTTTAATTAAACAGTCACCATTGATCATTGAAGTGCAAAAAGCTACATATTGAGTTTGGAATCCTAAACTTTGTTCATGATCATTGAGATGTGACTATCACTCTATATCCTAACTAAAGGATAGCAAAAACAAAGCTAGCTCAAGGAGGATCATAGATGATGTTAGATGGTTTTATGTGCTTTATTCCGAAGGTAGGTAAGCTCCATTTGTCCATATTTACTAGGCCCTTATATGGCTAGGAAGATCAGAGAAAAGGTTGAAGATCTTGTTTCCTTCAATTCTGTGACTCAGAGTTGCTAAATTGTCGTATGGTCTATTATCTTCTCTGAAGTAATGATTGATGTTGAAGTTTGGTTGCTAATTCCATGGATGTTCCACTCCCCTTTGGCGCATTTGACCATTAGGAGGGAGTTAGATTCTCCTATGGCTCTTTCTAGACCTCTGTCGGCACATCATTTCAAACCAAAGAGTAGTGCTTCAGCTTCTGCGTAGTTACTGGTGCATGCTCCTAAAGAGATGGAGTAGGCAGCGATGAACTTTCCTTCGTGGTCTCTAATAATATCCCCCCCTCCACATTGCCCATTAGAGCAATTTCCATCACTGCTCAGCTTGACTAGTTGAGCAGGTGGTCTGATCCATTTCACTGGGAAGCTGCTAGTTTGTTGAATGTGTGCTTCACAGGCTATGTATATGCTGCTCCAGCTATCTCCAATGCGAACTCTGCTAAAATATTTCTTGATTATATGTAAAAGAAAATTAGTGATATTAGAACTGGTTCTATATATTGAGGGTCTAGTCCCTTCGAACTTATTGCAACATCTTGATTTATAGAGCTCCCAGCAAATGATAAGTGGGAGATTCTTGGTGATAAATCTCGCGATTGGATTGGACAATTTTTAGTTCCACCAAATCAAAAGAATCATGTTCAGGCTATTGAAATTCCAACCAATACACAAAGGGGGCGCAAATTTCCTCCAAATTTTCTAGCAAGATCACCTTAACAGAATAGGTGATTAATGTCCTCGAGCTCAGTTCAGTTGATAGCAGGGTTATAGTAATAACATTGGGGGTTTAGAGTAATTCCAAGCCTAGCCACTCTCTTGTCAGTGTAAAGTTTATTACCAACTGCTCTCCACAAGAGAAAAGACATCTTGAATGGTATGTCCTTTGTCCATAAGTTGCTATAGAAAGGGTTATGGTCGTTCCTTTGCCCTATAGAATTCCAAGTAGAGCTGATGGTAAAATTTCTTGAGTTGGAAAGTCTCCAGTTATCTTTATCATAGCAATTGATGTTTAATTCAATGTCCAAGGATAAGATATGAGATGTGGTATCTTCGTTGGGTTGAATGGTGGGCATGTTCCAATTCCAGGTGTTGTGTTGAAGAATTTCATTCAGCTTAATGTTAGGCAGGGGGCTCTGAGGGAGTAATCTTGTATAGGGGTCCTAGTGGGCACTAGTTGTCAAACCAAAAGGAGACATCTCCTTTTCTAATGTTCCAAACAATATTGAGCTCAATTTCTTCTTTGATATCACAAATGGCTTTCCAGTTTTGCGAGTTTCCCTTATTCCAGTTAATAGTAATAGGGTGCTTCAAATCATAGTATTTAGCAATCATGAAGGACCCCCCAGAGAGAGTTTGTTATTCTAAGGTTCCACCAATGTTTANCCAGAGAGAGTTAGTTATTCTAAGATTCCACCATTATTTAGCTCTAAAAGCTTTGCAGGTATCAGTGAGCCTCCTAAAATTAGCACCACAGTCACAATAAGGGTAACACAAGTTCTTCTGTGCAACCTAGTGATACTTTCCCCCACTATCTTGTCCTGACCAGAAGAATCTTGCTACAAATTTCTCTATGAGCTCTAGAGTTCCTTTTGGTGGATTAACTGCAGCCAGTAGATGTATAGGGAGAGCCAGAAGAACATGTCTGATGAGGATGGCTCTTCCCCCAGTGGAGAGGAGTTTGGTATGCCATCCTTTGATTATACCAATGACTTTGTTCACAATATCTGAATAAAATTTAATCTTCTTTCTCCCTGTTGTGAGAGGGCATCCCAAATATTTGATGGGGAACTTTTGATATTTCATGCCAGTGATAGCCTTCATTCTGCTGATAGTGACCAAATTGGTCTTGGTGCTCATTGCAAAACTGCTCTTGTTCTTATTGATGAGTTTCCTAAAGATCTTCTCATAATCAGTTAAAGTACTCAATATCAATCTCATAGACCTCTTATTTTCATTACAGAATAGAATTGTATCATCTGCAAAAGAAAGATGGTTAACTTTAGGATAGTTAATATTCATATAAAAACTTTTGTAACCCACTCTATTATGAAAATTGTTCATCGTTTGAGAAAGAATTTCAGCACTTAAAATAAAGAGGGAAGGGGAGAGAGGGTCTTCCTGCTTTAAGCTCCTCTCAGATTGGAAGAAACCATTTCTTCTTCCATTAACCAGCATAGAATACCAATTATTGGAGATGCACTTGGGAATAATCTCAATCCACTGCTCACTGAAGCCCATCTTCTTTATAATTTTCCCAAGGAAGATCCACGAGATTCTGTCATACGCTTTGGTCATATCAAGTTTCAGAACAACATTGCCTCCCCTATTCGGTTTGTTGATGTCACTGATGATCTCCTGTGCAAGGAGAATGTTTTCTGAGATTGATCTCCCCTTAATGAAGCCAGATTAGTTCCTGGAGATGACCCTAGGTAATAAACTGGAGAGCCTAGCATTGAGGATTTTAGAAATAATTTTGGAAGACACATTACAAAGGCTAATTAGCCTAAGGTTTGAGAAACTTTAGGGGTGATCAACTTTAGGGATCATGACAATAAAGGTATGAGTGTAGAATTTGGTAAGTGTGGAGCCTCTGAATACAGCTTTCACAGCATTATGCACATCCTCAGATATAACATCCCAACATTTCTGGTAGAACATCCCACTAAGGCCATCAGGCCCTGGGGAGCTATTGGCATCAATGGATAACACAATATCAGTAACTTCTTGGACAGTAGGAATGGTACTGATTCTACTATTATCATCATCAGTAATACATCTTTCAATACAGTCTAGGGCTCTAAAGTCAGTGTTTGTTGGAGTCTTCAGAAGAGATGTTCTTGTAAAAGTTCATAGCTCCATCAGCAATAGACTCATAATCTTCAAACCAGTTACCTTCTCCATCTTGAATCCTTCTAATTGTCAACTTTGTTCTTTTCTCTTTAAAAGTCGCATGCAGTATTGGCATCACCCTCATTGAACCATTTAACTCTAGCTTTTGGCTCAAAATAGAGTCATGAATCTTTAGGTATCTTATAAATTCTGCTTTACTCTTAGATAGTTCACATCTATTCTCTGGAGTATTATTGGTCATGCAGATCTCTTCTAGGTCCCTGATGAGGTTTTTCAATCTTTTAGGTTCCTCAAAGATATCTCCAAAGGTTGCCCTGGACTATGTACTAAGTGCCTTAGTAGTGTTCTTGATCTTCTGATGCAGGATGTATAAGGGATTGCCTTGCATATAAATACTCCAACAGTTCTGTATTGTCTGTATGAAATCAGGGTGTTCAGTCCAGAAGTTGAGAAACTTGAAGTACCTGGTTCCTTATATATCTTCATGATGTAGCTTCACTAGAAGTGGAACATGATCTGAACAGGATCTGGATAGATGTGTGATAGCTGTGCTATTGAGAATATCAAACCAACTAGAATTGTATACCAACCTGTCGAGTCTTTTCCATATAGTGAGGGGCGAATCCCTGTTATCACACCAAGTAACTTTAGCACCAGTAAAACCAGCATCTTGTAATCCAAACTCATTAAGACATTCTATGAAGTCCAGACTTTCCTCTAGTTTGTAAGGTCTGCCACCCAGTTTTTCTTCTCTATTAGTAATCACATTAAAGTCACCAATGATCTCCCATGTTTCTTGGTTGGTAGTAGCTAAGTTCCTTAGATCTGACCATAACTCCGTTCTTAATTCTTCAGAGCATTAAGCATAAACAATCGTTAATAAGAAGGAGGGGCTGTTATTGTGGTCAGCCTTAATGTGAACATGTTGTTCTTTGTCTTGAAGGATAGTAATATTGATGTCATTAGTCCAGAAAAGCCATACCTTATTAGAGAAATTAAAGAAGGCATGCATTCCCAGCTTTCTTTTGAATTTCTCAATCTTGCCACTATCCACTGTAGGTTCTTGTAGGCACATGAGAGGAAGTTGATATTGAAGTTTTAAAGTTTGGAGTCTCTCAAGAGATACTTTGGACCCTATACGCCTAATATTCCAGGATATTGTATTAATAATAAAAAGTATTAGGATTGAGGGGGGCTTTGATCTGTCACTGAGGAGTCAATAGCGTTGTCTTTGAAAGATTGACTCATTCCTATGTTGTGTTGATTCCTTGGGGACAGGTTTTTGATATTGGAGACATTAGTCTGCTCTTTGTCTCGCAAACAGAGTGACTCCTCAGAGTAGGACTTTCTGATATCCCCCCTGATCACTTCATCATCTGATAGAGATTTTTCAATATCCTCTTTGATATATTCCATAAACATTTCTGGGTTGAGCTTGTCACCAGATACCATATCCAACTCTTGCACTTGGCCAACTGGAACATTAAAAAGCTCTTCCATTGAGTCTGGGGGTTCAGCCTCAAGATTTTGATGTCCATTTCCCTCTTGCTCCTTCAGTATATCCAGATCCTGGATCTTATTGGTCAGACTGGACATCTTCTCCTTGATGTAAGAGGTGGTCTGTATTAGAGGGAAGTTTATGAGGGTCCATTGGGGTACAGTCTTGGGTACTTGATCATCCCCTTTAGTAATAACTTCTTTAGTGATACTAACTTTGTCTTTGAATCTTTGTTTCTTGGAATGCATCTTTTTGCTATTATTGGTATCATGACTGTTCGAGGGATCCTTGTTGCTTTGTGCTTGTTGATCAGTGTTCTCCATATAGGACGAGGGTTCATTTTTGTTCTTCCTTACTCTAGATTATGGTGGTGCATTTCATTCTTGTTCTGCTTTCTTTCCTTTGTTTTGTTGTCATGTTCTTTATCCCATCTAGAGTTCATGCCAAAGATAAAGTTAGAGTCTTCCTCAGCTTTGCCTTGCACAATGTTCTCCTTATATGTGCTAGTCTTCATCGTTTGTTCCATGGTTTCCTGCTCAGATAGTTGATTGAACATATTGCTATTAAGCTTAAAGTTGTATTCTTGACTTATGACTTGATTCTCCTCACTGGTTTGTGGGTTCTTTGGAGAAGAATTCCCATTGATGTTGTTTTTGCCTTTTTTTTTTCTTTTATCCACTTGTTGCCATCCTTCCTCCAAAGTAGAAGTGGAAGCCTTAGTGCCTTGTTTGTCGCTCACATAAATATCGACTTCCATTTGTTGTGTTCCATGCTTTGTACTGACAGTGCTAGAAGTGGCCTTATTAGAACTATATATGTTGCCTTTGTTGATCTGGTTGTTGTTGTTTCTCTCAGATTGTTGGTTCCTCATTTCTTCTTCTGGTAGCTCCTTATTTTGGGTGTCCACATGATCAATTTTGGGAGCACATTGACATACCTCCCTTGTGTAACCTTGGATTCTACAATGAGAGAAAAAGAGGGGCACTGTTTTGTATTCAATTTTTGATTGAATGTCTCCAAAATACCTTCTGGATTCTGAATGGCCACCTGAACTTCTGTGATCAGAGATTTCAATAAATCTATCTCAATTCTCATTTTTGTTGTCGTTGGTCTAGTTTTTGTTTATGTGGCTTTATCCATGACAATTGGGGTTCCAATAGGCCCAACAATCCTACATAGGGCTGCCCACTCATAGTAATGCAATGGAAGATCTGGTAGATTTATCCACACCGGTGCTAGAGACGTAGCCTTGTTTGGTTTGAAATTAGCGGTCCATCTTTGTATCTTCATGAAATGATCTTCACCAAGTTGTATAAAGGTATATGAAGCTATTAAATTGTAGTCTTCTCTATTCTCAACATCAATGAAGACATGTTTAACATCTTTGGCCCCAATTTTCACATACCCTTAGTAGGAACAATTATCGCAAAATCTGCCCTAAATTTGTCAATCTGGGGCGATTTCGATTGAAGTTACTTGTTAGAGTCAATGTAACGACCCGGCCAGTCATTTTGAGTATATTAGCTCTGATATCCTATTTATTATCTTCTCTGTATTATACTGTGATTACGTGACTTCCTGGGATGTTTGGCTTTGGTTTCGGGTGAGTTTCGGAGTAAAATGGGACATATAATCCGTAAAATGGAAGTTTAAGTCGTAGAAGTCGACAGTTGTTGGACTTGTGTAAACACGACTTTAGAATGGAGTTTTGACGATTCTAATAGCTCCGTAGGGTGATTTAGGTCATAGGAGCATGTCTGGACGTTGATTTGGAGGTCTGTAGATCGTTTCGGCATTAATTGCCGAAAGTTGGAAAGTTAGAAGATTTTGAGAAGTTTGACTGGGAGTGGACTTTTTAATATCATCATCGGACTCTAATTTCGAAAGTTAGAATAGGTCTGTAATGTCAATTATGACTTGTGCCCAAAATTTAAGGTCAATCGAACTCGATTTGATAGGGTTCGGCATCGAATGTAGAAGTTAAAAGTTTATAAGTTCCTTAGGCTTGAATTGGGGAGTGATTCATGTTTTTGATATTGTTGGATATGATTTAAGGCCTCAACTAAGTTCGTATTGTGTTTTAAGACTTATTGGTATGTTTGGTTGAGGTCCCGGGGGGGCCTCGGGTGTAATTCGGACCATGTTCGACATATTTCGGATCATTGAGGAATTGCTGAATCTAGTACTTCTGGTGTTCTTCTATGCGACCGCGATTGGACTAACGCGATCGCGAAGGGTAATTTAGCATTGGAGAGAATTTGTTCTATGTGATCGCTTGAAGAGGCATGCGTTCGCAGAAGGCTGGTTCCTCTTTTCTTCTTCTGCTAGCTCCTTATTTTGGGTGTCCACATGATCAGTTTTGGGAGCACATTGAGAGACCTCCCTTGTGTGACCTTGGACTCTACAATGAGAGAAAAAGAGGGGCACTGTTTTGTATTCAATTTTTTTTATTGAATGTCTCCAAAATACCTTCTGGATTCTGAATGGCCACCTGAACTTCCATGATCAAAGGTTTCAATAAATTTATCTCAATTCCCATGTTTGCTGGCGTTGGTCTGGTTTTCATCTGAATGGCTTTATCCATGACAATTGGTGTTCTTATAGGCCCAACAATCCTACTGAGGGCTTCCCACTTGTAGTAATGCCATGGAAGATATGGTAGATTGATCCACGCTAGTTCTAGAGATGTAGCCTTGTCTGGTTTGAAATTAGCAGTCCACCTTTGTATCTCCATTCTCAACATCAATGAAGACATGTTTAGCATTTTTGGCCCCAATTTTTACATGCCCTTTAGTAGGCACATTTATCGCAAAATCTGCCCTAAATTTGTCAATTTGGGGGCAATTTCGATTGAAGTTACCTATTAGAGTCAATGTAACGATATCGCCGGTCATTTTGAGTGTATTAGCCCAGATCTATTATTTATTGCCTTTTTTTATTATATTGTGATTAAGTGACTTGTCGGGATGTTTGGTTTTGGTTTCGGGTGAGTTTCGGAGTGAAATGGGACACATAGTCCCTAAAATGGAAGTTTAAGTCATAGAAATCGATTGTAGTTGGACTTGTATAAAGATGACTCCGGAATAGAGTTTCGATAGTTCCAATAGCTCCGTAGGGTGATTTTGATCATAGAAGCGTGTCCGGACGTTGATTTGGAGGTCCGTAGGTCATTTCGGCGTTATTTGGCAAAAGTTGGAAAGTTGGAAGATTTTGGGAAGTTTGATCGGGAGTGAACTTTTTGATATCGTGGTCGGATTTGGATTTCAGAAGTTGGAATAGGTCTATAATGTCAATTATGACTTGAGTCCAAAATTTGAGGTCAATCGGACTCGATTTGATAGGGTTCGGCATCGAATGTAGAAGTTAAAAGTTTATAAGTTCTTTAGGCTTGAATTGGGGTGCGATTCGTATTTTTGATGTTGTTGGATGTGATTTAAGGCCTCGACTAAGTTTGTATCGTATTTTAGGACTTGTTGGTATGTTTGGTTGAGGTCCCGGGGGGCCTCGGTTGTAATTTGGACTATGTTCGACACATTTCAGATCATTGAGAAGTTGCTGAATCTAGTGCTTCTGGTGTTCTTCTATGCGATCGTGATTATAATAACGTGATCGCGAAGGGTAATTTGGCATTGGGGAGAATTTGTTCTATGTGATTGCTTGAAGAGGCCTGCGATCGCGGAAGGCTGGGTTCCAGTGAATCGCGAACGCGTGAAGGCAGTCGCGATCGCGTAGCAGGATTGGGGGGGAAGGGGGTATGTAGTTCACGCATTTTCTTCATTGCGGTCACGTGGGGTGTTGCGCAATCGCGTAGCTTGTCGAGGCAGTGGAACGTGTTCGCGTGATATTTTTCGCATTCACGTAGAAGCTTTTTGAGTTGTTGGTAATTTTGTTCTTCGCGGTCGAGAAGGAATTTTCGCGATCGTGTAGTGTAAATAATTGGGCAGTAGACTTAAGTTTCAAAATCAAGGATTTATTTCATATTACTCAATTTGGACTTTGAGAGCTCGGTTTAAGGCGAATTTTCAGAGGGATTTTTGGAGTAAGAGTTCTTAACTCATTTTTTATTAAATTCCACTAATCGATCTTTGATTTCATCATTTAATTAGAGATTTGGGTTAAAAAATTGGGAAAAAATGGAGGAAACTTCTTTGGCCGAATTTTTTGGATTTGAGCGAGATTTATGTATCGAATTTGTGTAATTCTTGTATGGTTGGACTCGATATCAAATAGATGTTCGGATTTTATAATTTTGGTCGGGTTTCGAGACGCGGGCCCCGGTTGACGTTTTGGGAAATTTTTTTAATTCTTTGCTAAGATCATAATTTAATTATTTAAATTAGTTTCCTATAGTTATATTTATAGTATGAAATTGTTTTGGCTATATTCGAGTTGGAAAATTGAGGGAAAGGCCTTCTAATTGATTGATTTGGCGTGGTTTGAAGTAAGTGACTTCTTTAACCTTGTGTGGGGGAAATTTTTCTTAGGACTTGGTACTGTTGTGATAATTTGTGATATGTGAAGGTCGTGTACGCAAGGTGACGAGTGCGTACACAGGCTAAATATTAAGATTCCGATTTTAGCTACGTAGTTTCTTTTCCATGTTTAGCCTAATTTTACATGTCTACTTGTCTTATCTCTTATTTGCAACTTGTACTACATGTTTAGTTGAATTACTTGCTTTTCTTAATTCCGTATTCATTATTTAACTGTGAAAATTCTTTACTTGAAATTTTCTATCCTTGAAATATCTTGTTGTTGAGTTTGGTATTGAGTTGCAAAGGCCGTGGTTTCTATTGAGGCAAGGTGTAAGTTCTGAAGTGTAATTTTATTTAGTTGTTATGTTTTGGCTTCCATGTTATTGTTGAGGTGATTGTTTGGGTTGTGTGTACGAGGTTTCTGTCATGCTATTGTTATTGTTTGGACGAGGTTTCTACCATGAGGTTGTAACTATTTGCACGAGGTTTCTGTCGTGCCGTTGTGATTATTTATACGCATGCGGTGGTATAAGGTCTGGGTATTGAAACGCATGCGGTGAGATAAGGTGGGCTTGATACGCGTGACTAGTAGGGGAACTACTAGAAGCCATGCAGTGTGATAAGGTGGGCTAAAATGCGGGGTGCTATTTCGAAAAAAATAATTTTCAAAACTAAATATAAAAGCTCCCGCGGTGATATAAGAAAAAACTGTGATTTATTTTTATGATTTGGGACTAAGAGGCGATACCTCGGGAATGCCCCGGTTGATCTTTTCTATTTGCTGTATCGTTTGGTTATTGTTTCCTTAATATGTAAAATCCTTATTTTTTTTTTCGTGATTTTATTAG